ACTCCAAGTCCATGTCGTCGCGGCGCGGCGGTCCATCCAGCGGGCCCTCGGAAGGCATCGCCGCCTCCAGCCACGAGTAGAAGGGGGACCAGAGCCAATGCTTAGCCGCAAGGGCCCTGCCGTTGAGCCAGCCCTGCTGCGCGCGCGAGTGCGACCCTCCGCCGCAAGAGAGGACGGCGGCTCCGTGACCCACTCAGGACACCCTGCTGCCAACCAGCGGCCGCGGCGCGCCAAGCAGCAGGCCACGCGGTGCCCTCCGAGGCCGTGCCCCCTCGCGCCGTCGACGGAGGGGAGCACCCGTCGGGCGTTGGCAGAACTGGGTTTAGTGGAACCTGGTTTAATGATTTGTACCGGGGGCGCCCCCCCGTCCCATCTCCACTAACCGGAACTGCCGTCACCCGAAAAACACCAGCTACGGCAAACCTGGTTTAGTGAATCTGGCCAATTGAGGGGCCCCAGGGCCCTACCACTGACCGGGTCCCCTCACCCGGGGTCCTGGCTATACCCGAACCCGGGGGAAGGGAGGTCATCCGTCTCCTCTCCCTGTGACTGGGTGTCCTCGGGGATGCCTCGGCCGGCATGGCCGACTCGTGCCCGACGGCCTGCCCGAGCTCCGCTGCCAATCGCACGCTGCAGTCGGTGGTAGGGGGAGGCTCCGGCACGTCCGCACTCTCTGCCCAGCGCGCGGGCGATGAGCTCGCCGTCGGAGGCATCGAGCCCGCCAGAACTGTGGAAGGAGCGCGGCACGATCCCGCCGCCCAGCTCGCTGGGCACCCCGTGCCTGCCCCCGACGCTGCCGACGGTGCGCAGCTCCCCGCAGCCCGTCTCCGCGGGCCGCATGCCCAGGAAGGACCTCTCGACCTGCTTCTCCGCCGGCTGCCCGATGACCCTACCCTCCTGGTGCACGTCGCCCTGCTCAGTGGCCCAGCGCCCACGACGACCGGCACCTCCTTGCCCTGTCCCTCCACCTCGCTATCCAGCGCCCGCCAACCCTCTGGCCAGGGCGGCGCCGCCTGCCGCAGCTTGGTGGGCGTGACCGCCACCACTGGCCGCGGTGCTTCCTGCGGGGCGGCTGGGGCAGGAGCTCCCGGCCTAGGGCCGCCCGCCGCCGCCGAACTGGCGGCGTCGCAGGCCCGCGCGAAGCCCGCCGCGCGGAGGAGGAGGAGGCAGAGGAGGAGGAGGAGGAGGAGGAGGAGGAGGAGGAGGAGGAGGAGGATAAGATAAGATAAGAGCACCATTGACGCCATGTGTCACTATGTCTTTGTAAGCAACGGCATCGGTGAGGCACAAAAAGCGTGCCAACGGAAGACGTTCGACAGGCTCCCTGCGCTGGGCGTCCAGCGACTGGCCTGCGAGCGCCACGGCTCATGGATGGCCCACACGTGGGCTCGATAGCACAAGCCGCCAGCCTCATTGCCGTCCCCCCCGCCCCCGTCCACCCGCCGTACCCCGCCCCCGTCCCTTCCCTTTGGCAACAGCCGGCCTAAAACGGCCTTCCTGCTGTCTTACAAAAGTTAGTGCAGCACCAGGCGACAGACTGCCACTGCGCAGCAACGCAGCCATGCGCATTGAAAAAGCCTCAAGTCGAGCCGCAAGTCTACGCACCTGCGACTCCGAGCTACCGACCTCACGAACGCCTCCTCCAGGAGGTCTCACACTCGCAGGTGGTCGCCAAGGCCTCACATTTTGTTGAGCTCCTCCAGCAGCTTCGACGCTTCTCGCTCGAGTGGCCCACGAGGAGGCGGCCCCACCTTCAGAACGCCATTCTCTTTCTTCAGCGCCTCCATTACTGCGTCCTGCAGCTCCGTCCACTGCGTGCTGAAACAAATCGTGATACGCATGACCTCCGCCTGGCTCTCTTTCTTGCGCGTGTCTTTGACACGGCAATGACGAATCTGCTCTGCCAGGTCGTGAAGCTCTCTCTGCAGGACGTGCTGCTTCCAAAAATTCTCGATGACTTTGCGACTCCCCTCCGATAGGCCCTGGACACTGTACGCCGCCTTGATCATGGCCTTGAACACGTGCAAGAACGGCGGGCCTGGGATGTCGTGGCCTCCAGAACTGCCTCCTCCTCCTCCTCCTTCTTTGATGCGCTTGGCCTGCGCGTGGTAGTCCCTGCCCGCCTCCTTCATCGCCTTCGCGATGGTCGACGCCGCGGGGATCAAAAAGGTCAAGTACACGGCGGCGATCAGGTCCCAGAGCTCCGCCGCCTGTGTCAGTGCCAGGGCCGCCAACACTTTGACCATCCTCTCTAGCATCTGCGTCTTGTTGCCGCCGCCGACGTCGCCTCCGAGCTCCGTCAGCAGCTTCTTGCGCCCGCCCTCCTGCTGTCCCTCCACTCCCCTCTTCAGGGCCCACTTCGGCTCCTCGAGAGCCATGGACGTGAGGTGGCGCGTGGGAAACGATATGCCGATGCAAATCAGGTAGATCTTGAGCCGAGTACTCACACAACGGACAATCAAGCGTAGTGGGCGGGACGACCTGTCCCAGATATCTCACTCTCGTAATCCTATCTGGTCTGGCCCTCTTCGATATCACATGACGATAAGCAGCTTGGTGACAGGAAAACACATCTCCACAATACGGACATTGATTCGTCACCACAATCGACGCATACACGTCAGTTCTGCGATGCACACGTTGAATATGTGTCGATAACGCCCTACTCGAACTAAACGATGCTGCACACCCTTCCCCATTCTCAGTGGTAAAAAACATTTCCACGACCCATCACCTCCTCCTCCTCGTACATGTCCCCCCCTTTCACGATCCACCGGTGGTTTTTGAACATCCTGAGCCCTCAAGAGACCCACATCGACCTTGATAAAGTCTTGCCTCGCCTCCGTCTCGCAGACCAGGTCACTAAGGTAAGCATGCGTGTCGCTAGTAGGCTCAGTAGTCGACGTGATACGAAGCTCAGACAAGAACCACTCCGCGTCCTCCACCGAGAGCAGGGCCTTCAGGTCCTCTAGTACCCTACGAGCCCAAGGATTTGCATTCTCCGTGAGCCTCCCATCCTCCGTCATCGTCTCCATCCTCTCCCAGTTCATGACCCCGAAGTGCGCCGCTATCCACTGCCTGTGCCTTTCTGGTCGTTTTGCTATGGCTTGAAGTCTCTTAAGACGACGCACCCTCAGTTCAACCGCAAGCGAGCATAGCCTCCAGTGTTTTCTGACGCGCTCATTTGACCACGACGAGTGCACTCCCTCTACCTCCTCGTGCGCCAATCCTCGGAGTGCCTTCCTTGCCAGCTGGTCAACCACCTGCTGCAAGTCTGCCAACTGGCAGGACGACGGAAGGTACGCCTCCAAATTCTGCACAGCAGTGCCCACAACAAAATACAGAAACATCGCGCGCTTCAATCGAAACGGGACCCCTTTCAAAAACCAGAAGCCGCCCAGGGAGTAAAAAGCTTTAAAGATGGCCGCCTTGCGGGCCTTCAGTTCAGGAGCAAAAGCCTGGGCCGGCCTGGGATCCGCCACACATTGTCCGCCAAGATAGCGAACCTGATGACACACCTCCCCTGGGACTTGAAGCCTCCCCAAGCGTATGTCTCTTAAATCTAAATGCGCGCCTGGTCCTAGCAAACTAATCAAACTCATCTGCTTCTTGGTATTTTGAGCACAATTATCTTCGGCCAGCGCCGCCGACAGGAGATCAGAAGCCCTTCGCACCCTCGCCAGGAGAGAAGCAGCACGCTCTTTGGGCTTTCCCAGGTGGGAAAGCTCCAGGTCATCAGCATACTGGCACAGTGCAAGGTCGATCGGGTCTGGATCACAGGGGCTCGTAGCCACCATCTGTCCCTCCATCACACCCTCAGCGGCCATCGCACTGCGCCACCGCGCAACACTCGGTTGAAAGGCCCTCACCCACGCCGCCACCATAAACGGGTCCCCCATCATTCCGCCACAGCCAGGCCGCAAAAGCACCGACCCGAATTCACACGGCACCGAGATGGTGGCCTGATCCACCCTCTGGAGTCCCATAGGCACCGTACCTCCCTCAAAAAGTTCAGCCGTTGCCAGCTTCAGCCTTACTTGAGAGATACTGCCAAACGCATTAGTGGCATCAAAGTACTGCCTGCAAAACGATCTGCCCTCTCGCTGCGCTCTCCACGCCAAGATGGAGGAAACCAGCATGGGAGTCTCCTTGCACCTACCAGGCTGGTATCCGTGCACATCAGGAGCCATGATCGATCTATTCATCAGAGCCGAGTACCACACTTTACCTATCGCAGGCAACATGTGGACCCATCTCTTCCCAGCAGGGCCCTCAGCGTCCGACTTCCTAAGTCCACTAGCCTGGCTGCAGTGCCAAACTCTCGGCGTGTGTAAAGACGATCTGATTCGCCACAATCCTAGATACATCGCTCTAGTGAAGAAGAAAGTGGGCCTCGCGGCCCCAGGGGCCCCAACCCCTTCTACTTGCTTCTTGGCAGGGATCCCCCCTCCAGGGTTCAAAGCCATGTCCCACAATTCTATCGGAGCCGACCACTTAGGGGTGACCCTTCTCTTGCTAACCTGCCTCAACTTCCTGCGCACACGTTTTAAATCCTCTTGCGCTTGCTCCGCTTCGTTCTGACAAAAAGGCGTGCAATGCATCTGTTCCTCAGGTAACCCCCCCCACCGCTCAACCTCCACCGCCTCCATCCCTCCCAGAGGTCCAGGCTCCGCCCAGAATCTCAGTTGCTCCTCGCGTGTCGGCAGGGCAGTGCGGACCTCTAAATGTTTTCTTTTTTTTGGCCCGACCCGCACACCCGCCGCCATCCTCGCGTGAAAAAAAGCTTTGTGAAGATTCCTCGAGCCCCAGGAGTCCCTCAAGTGCTCCAGATGCTCGTCCCTTCTTTGCTTAAAAGCCTGCTTGGCCATTCCTCTGAGTGTTCTAGTGACCTGGCGAATCTCTTCAGTCACTGCCTCTAAGATATCCGACGCTACCCCCTCCAGGGAAGCTCTCAGCTCTCTGCGCTGCTTCAAAAGACTAGAGCGGGTCGCTTCTAACTCCGCTCGCCCTGGCACACTCTGAGACGCTTTCACAAACAACGGGCGAGCAGCATCATACAAGACCTGCTCCAGATACTGAAACAGACGATCAGGAGAGTCTTGCGACGCAAGTCGCATCCACTCTTGCTGCTGTGCTTCCATCCTCCCCTCCACCCCGTCAAGGAAGTCCCGTAACCCCACCCCTCCCCTCAGCGCAGCCATCATCGCATCTGGGTGCAGCCGCTGCTCTCCCAAGTGGGGCGGCTGCTGGCATGTCTGCTGCTCCTGTCGTGCAAACGACGGGCGGTTTATCTCCAAAAAAACAGGCACGTGATCTCTTTTTCCTGCAACATTGATGAGCTGCAAACGTCTTCCTTTTCCCATCAAAGCTCCAGTCACTCGTACCGCACCAATCATCGACTGCGGTACACAAACATAGTCCAAGACCGAGTTAGACGTCGCACTGAAGAAAGTTGGCAAGTCACACAAAGTCGTGACCGCCGCCATGAAGTGACTCTGCAATACCTCACGAAACGCAGTTCCAGCAAAATATTCAATATTCGCACCAGGGAAAAAAACACCTCCTCATCTATCACCTTGTCATCGTCGCTCTTCTTCAAGCCAATCCCATCATTCAAGTCACACATAACCACCGGTACCGACCTGGACGGGCACGCCGCGAGTTCTCTAGACAGCCACTGCGTCATGGCCCTCACCGTCCTCTTGTAGGCCGGCTGCTTCTTTGTCTCCGTCACCTTCGGCGGGTAGTACTGCGCAATGATCGCGAAGTCCTCTGTGAGCGTGCGCACCCGTACTGAAAGACACCTCCCCTCAAGACCAGCCCCCGCTCGTACAGCACGCACGCGCTCTTCACGAAAGCGCCTGTGCAATAATACCGCCACTCCGCACGCTTTGTTCGAGTTGGGCCCTCTCCTCCATCCCGCTTCCAGAAGCAGACGACCCTGTACCCGACGCCGTTGTACTTCGAGCTCCCTGGCCTTCAGCTGAGTGCCCGTAATTGCCACTGCCTCCACGTCATCGAACGTCGCCCCAATATCCTCGATTCGATCCACTCTCGTACACGCCAATGGATTGTACTGCACAAACTTCCATGAAGGGCCAGCTGCACTCTGATGGGTACGCCAGAGTGGCATCAGCGCGAGCAGGAAACAACACAGGCGGCTCATGGCGCCTGCCGCATCTTCCCGCGACTGCCGCTGGCCAACGGTTCAGAAAGGGGAACCTGTTGGTCGCATGTTCAAAGCCGCCCCGTTGTCTGAGCCACAACGGCGGCTAGGAGGAGGAGGAGGCGGAGGAGGAGGAGGAGGAGGAAGGAGGAGGCAAGCGGACGAGGAGGAGGAGGAGGAGGACGAGGAGGAGGAGGAGGAGGAGGATGAGGAGGAGGAGGAGGGGCGCCACGGCTGCATGCCAGGCCAAACTCCTGCGGCGCCTGGCAGGGCCTGGCGCTCGCGAGCCTGCCGCTGCGCGCCGCGGGGCAGGCCCGGCGGCGCGCTCGCGGCCTCGCCACGCTCCTGGCACGGCGGCCGCGGCGACCAGGCTCCGCAGCGCGGCCTCGCAGGCCTGCGGCCGCCTGCACCGCGCCGCCCTCCGCGCCGCCGTGGCGCCCAGGTCCGCCTCCTCCTCTTGCCGTCGCTCGGACGTCCATTTCCCGTGCATTAGTTCCGTTTCGTGTGTTTTTTTTTGGCTCGATGGTCCAGGATGGTCCTCGATGGCTCTCGCCGCTAAAAGATGCACACGTCCGAGCGATGCCAAGTCCTGGGCACGGCGCGTGCTGGGCCGCCACACCGCGGGCAGCCCCCCGGCCATCGCCCGCGGGGCACGGCCGAGCGGATCCCCCCTGAGACCGCACCGCAAGCACAGCTGAGAGAGGACTACGCGAGGGCACCTCCGTGCGGTCGAAGCTTGAGCCAAGATGGCTACGTGTGTGTGTGTGTGTGTGTTTGTTTATTGATTTGTTTGTTTGTGTGTGTGTGTGTGTTTGTGTTTGTGTGCGTGTGTGTGTGTGTGTGTGTCTCTCTGTGTGTGTGTGTGCGAATGCGAGTGCGTGTCTGCGAACGTGTGCATGCGTGCAACTGTATGTAGACGCTTGTCTCATGCACGTGCCGTGCATGTGTTGCGCGTGGGTGAGGGGAGGAAGGGAGCGGAGGGGAGGGAGACGCGGGCGCGACGCGGCAGGGAACAAGAACCCCACTAACGGGGTCGAGGAAGTACTACGCCTGCTATGCCCTGGACGAGAGGCGCGCATAACGAGACCACTCCCTGCGCACCCCCTTTGGTGTCGAGAAAGTGCCACGCCTGCTTTGCCCTGGACGAGAGGCGCGCATAGCGGGACCACCCCCTGCGCACCCCCTCTGGTGTCGAGAAAAGGCCACGCCTGTCGTGCCCTGCGCCATGGCCCGCATCGACGCCGCGCTCAGGAACCACCTCCTGCGCCCCCCCCTCTTGCGTCGAGGCAGAGCGCGCCTGCCGTGCCCTGCGCCATGGCCCGCATAGAGGCCACGCTCAAGGACCACCCCCTGCGCACCCCCTCTGGTGTCGTACGTGCCGTGCACGTGTTGCGCGTGGGTGAGGGGAGGAAAGAAGAGGAGGACGGGAGGATGGATGCGCGGGTGCGACGCGCGAGGGACGACCACCAGAACCCCACGAAACATGTGGGGAAAGAACAAGTCGTCGCCGTCTCTGTTCCTTTGGTTTGTTCTCTCTCTCTCTCTCTCTGTGTCTCTCTGTCTCTCCCCAGCGCGGAGTCTGGGCATGTTCGCAGGGGACGTGGGGACTCGAGCCCGAGAGCAACGCTGGAGGGGAGGAGCATCACGCAAGGCGAGAACCGAACGACGCCGACGTGCTCATGCACATGACGCCTCCTTTGCGCCAAAGCAACCCAACTTCGAACATCGCGCCAAGCGTCGTGCCCCCGCGCTGCAGCAAGCCCTGACCGCGACGAGCGACGCGCGATCATCTTCGGGCCCCTGGGGCTGACCTACCAAATTGCACTCGCTCTCCTCGTTCTCCTCTCGTCATCCCCTCCCCCCCGCGGCTGGGGCGGGCCTTGGGTGTCGTGGCCTCGCCCAACATGAGATAGGCGATGATCACCTCCGCCAATCAAAAGGTCTGCAATAGGGAGCCTCGGAGAAGGAACGGCGCTCTGTTGGGGCAACACTTGCGCCTAGATGCGCGAAGCACGTCAAATGGAAGCACATGTACGGACCCGTGGAATGTGACCCACTTTCGAAACTCACGTGGAGCTTTAACATTTGACTGCATGCAAAGGACCCGCCGTGACAAACATTGTAACATGAGGTGTCCCTTCCTCCCCTCCCCACCAAAGATGACACATCGACAACGCATTGCAGCATCAATTGAGCGACAACGCGTGGGAACGAGTGGCAACACTTCACGTCTCTTCCTCGCAGCTGGCAACACAATTTGCTGTACCTCCTCCTTCCTTGTATGTGAGCCCATCGAGACGACGCCTCACGGAAACAGTACTAGAAAGCTCAACGGCACTGCAAAGTCACATCAAAATGCACGTGCAAACTCCTTCTCCTCCTGCTCCCTCCTTATTATCGCCAGGAGCCCGACAGGTCTACGTACCCAAGCTGCTGAAGCCACCCAGTGTATAGACTCTCTCTCCTCCCTTCTAGCTTGTCTGTAGTACATGTGTTGTTTGTGTTGTTGTTGTTTCAGTTTGTTTTGCTTCCCTCTCTCTCTCTCTCTCTCTTTCTTTACCACCTCATCTTCCCCCCTCTTCCTCCTCCTCCTCCTCCTCCTCCTCCTCCTCCTCCTCCTCCTCCTCCTCCTCCTCCTCCTCCTCCTCCATCCCTCGACCCTGCCTCCCCGCTCCCGCGCTCCTTCTGACTCGCCTCCTCCCCCCGACCTCCGCTGCTCCTCCTCCTGTCCCCTTCCCCCTCTCCCTCGCGGCTCCCCCCCCCCCCCACCTCCATTGCCCCTCCGCCTCCTCCGCCTCCCCCACCCGCCCCTCCTTGCGGGGAGGCGGCGGCGGGGGCGATAGCGCGGCTCCCCCCTGCCTCCGTCGCTCATCTGCCTCCCCCCCCCACCGCACCCCAGCTCACCCGCCCGCCCGCCCCCACTGGGGAGGCGGCGGCGGGGGATGTCGGGCGGGGCCACGGTGAAAAACGGCGCGGAGGCCTTTATCGTCTCGGTGAACGACCTGGCGGCTGCCGCGGCCCCGCCGCGGGGAGCGGCGCGGATCCCCGCCGGGGCAGCCTCGGCGGCGGGCCGGGGCCGCGCGTCCAAGCGGGCCCGAGGAACTACGCGGGGGCGGGCAGGGGGGGGGGGGGTATTGCAGCGTGTGCGCGAGGGGCCCGAGGAAGGGCCGCAAGGGGCCCGAGGAGGGGCGCGGGGCGGTGCGGGGGGTGCGAGGAGGGTGTCGCGGGTATTGCGGGAGGGCCCCGAGGAAGGGCGCGGGGGGTAACTATTGCGGGTACTGCAACATGTGCCTGCCTCACTCAGAAGTGTGCGCGGCTGTGCTCTAAGAGCAAGAGGTGTGCCTAATCGATGCCCGATCGTGACAGAGCCTTGCGCGGATGGATACGCAGCGCGCTTGAGAAAAGGACTGCACCAAATAAAAAACCTAATCAATGGATGGATTTCGCTGAGGAGATCGACCGGGAGCCCTGGAACCCAAAACCCACCGAAATCGGCCCGGAACCAATAGCCAGGAACACGGGAACCTGGAACCGGGAGCCCGGGAACCCAGCGTGCGGCCAACATCGGCGGGAAACGTTCGCCAAAACTTTCCACTTCCGCCGGGACCCCTTCAGTGCAAGCACTGCTCGGGGAACAAGAAGAGGCGCCATGAGATGCAGGGAGGTATCATGGTCCACGCCATGATATCCCCCCCTATAGCTAATCATCACCCCCCTCTCTCACGTCCCCGAGGGGAGGGCGGGGAGGGCGAGCACAACCATCCAGCACAATTCAGCCATGGAGCGTTTGCCCTGTGATCCAACGCGGCCCCAAGGGGGACGAGCGCGCGGACACTCCCCGGGTGGCGTGGCGGCCGGGGACGCGCGCGCAGCTACCGTGGTGACGGGCGACGGCGACCACGTGCTGCAATGCAGTCGTCTGCCCGCCACTTGTCATGGGACGCACAGAGACAGACTAATACTGTATGTCCTCCTTGGAGGCGCGCGTCCGATCCGAACATATTGTATATTCATCTTGTAGTATATCGTTTCCCGAGCGGTGTGGCCAGAATACGCCCGCCACGGCGCATATACTAGAAGATTTCTCGGTGCGCGCGTCGACCCTGGGGGGGCGACGCACATATAGTGTAAGTATGTTAGGGTGACGCCGATGTCAAGCTCCTCTGCGGGGCAACGGAAATCTCTGGGCGCAGGTGGTTTCACGAGTTGTGCCTTCTCTCTGTCAACATCCCTCCTTCCCCTGCTCGCGGGAGGGGGTTTACCCCTCACCCTGACTCTAACCTGGGCCTGGCAGGGGGGGCGCGAGGCGTTAGAGCCTGAAGATTCGCCTGAAGATCCCAGATGGCGCCCAGAGGGCCTCAGAGGGCCCAAGATGGCATCCACGATGGTCCAATATGCTTCATCATGGCTCCGGATAGCCTCCGACATACCTCCGAGACGCCCCAAGACGGCTCCAAGACGGTTTGAAGTGCCCTCTGACCCCCCAAGGGCCCCCCCAAGGAACCAAATTGGCTCCAAACCGTAAGGGGCATCAATTTTCCCCCCAGCCATCCTGCAGTTTTGGGTCCTCGCTTTGAAGATACAACGCCCCGCGATCCTTCCTTCCTGCTCTCCTCCTCTTACTCCTCCTCCTCCCCCACCTCCTTCCTCCCCTCCCTGCCTCTGCTTTCCGCTTGCCCATCCCGTTTCGGCACAGCCCGCACACGCTTTGTGGCCCCATATGGAGCTCCGCCAAAGGCCCCTGTGGCAGGATTCGCGTGGCACTGCCGCTGCCATTTCGGCACACGCCTCTCACGCGTTTCATGAGGCATTCCGCCGAAATCCCTGGAGGCATGGTTCGCATGGCACCGCCGCCTCCATGTCGGCACACCCCTCGCACGTTTTGTGGCCCCATGAGGAGCCCAACCGAAGGCCCCAGCGGCAGGGTTCCAATGGCACCGCCACCTCCATTTCGGTACACCGCTCACACGTTTCGCGGCCCCATAGGGAGCTCCGCCGAAGGCCCAGTGGCAAGGTTCGCACGGCACCGCCGCCTCCATTTCGGCGCATCCCTCACACGCTTTGTGACCCCTTGGGGGGCCCCGCCGAAAACACCAGTGGCACGGTTCGAATGGCACCGCAGCCTCCATTTCGGCACACCCCTCACGCGTTTCGTAGCCCCATAGGGGGCTCCGCCGAGTGTCCCAAGTGGCACCGCCGCCTCCACTTCGGCACATCCCTCACACGATTCGTAGCCTCTTAAGGGGCTCCGCCGAATGCCCCAATGACAGGGTTCGCGTGGCACCGCCGCCTCCATGTCTGCACACCGCTCACACGTTTCGCGGCCCCATAAGGGGGCTCCGCCGAAGGCCCCAATGGCATGGTTCGCGTGGCACCGCCGCTTACATGTCAGCACACCAGTCGCGCGTTTCGTGGCCCCATAAGGAGCCCAACCGAAGGCCCCAGCGGCAAGGTTCGCACGGCACCGCCGCCTCCTCTTCGGCACACGCCTCACACACTTCGTGGCACCAAATGGAGCTCCGCCGAAGGCCCCAGTGGCAAGGTTCGAAGGGCACCGCCGCCTCCATGTCGGCACACCACTCACACGTTTCGTGACCCCATGGGGATCACCGCCGAAGGCCCCACTGGCACGGTTCGCATGGCACCGCCGCGTCCATTTCGGCACACCCCTCACACGCTTTGTGGCCCCATAAGGAGCCCAACCGACGGCCCCAGCGGCAAGGTTCGCATGGCACCGCCGCCTCCATTTCGGCACACGCCTCACACGCTTCGTGGCCCCAGAGGGAGCTCCGCCGAAGGCCCTCCGCGTGGCACCGCCGCTTCCAATTCGGCGCATCCCTCAAACGTTTCGCGGCCCCATAGGGAGCTCCGTCGAAGGCCCCAGTGGCAAGGTTCGCATGGCACCGCCGCCTCCATTTCGGCACACCGCTCACACGCTCCGTGGCCTCATAGGGGGCTTCGCCGAAAAACCCAATGACAAGGTTCGCGTGGCACCGCCGCTTCCATTTCGGCACACGCCTCACTCGCTTCGCGGCCCCGTAGGAGGATCCGTCGAAAACCCAACTGGCAGCGTTCGCGTGGCGCGGCAGCCTCCATTTGGGCCAACCCCGCACACGGTTCGTGACCCCATGGGGATCCCCGCCGAAGGCCCCAATGGCGGGGTTCGTATTGCACCGCCGCCTCCATTTCGGCACACCGCTCATACGCTTCGCGACCCCATACGGAGCTCCGTCGAACACGTTTCGTGGCCCCAGAAGGAGCTCCGCCGAAAGCACCAGTGGCACGGTCCGCATGGCACCGCCGCCCCGTTTCGGCACACCCCTCACACGCTTCGTGGCCCCATAGGGAACTCCACCGATGGCCCCAGTGGCAAGGTTCGCATGGCACCGCCGCCTCCATTTCGGCACATGCCTCACACGTTGCGTGACCCCAAATGGAGCTCCGCCGAAGGCCCCAGTGGCAAGGTTCGAATGGCACCGCCGCCTCCATGTCCGTACACCCTCAGACGCTTCGTGGCCCCAGCAGGAGCTCCGTCGAAGGCCCCAGTGGGAGGGTTCGCATGGCACCGCCACCCCGTTTCGGCACACTCTTCGCCCGCACGGCGGCCCCACCTCATCTCGCCACACCCTTCACACGCTTCGAGGCCCCGTGAGGGAATTCTGCGAAGGCGAGGCTCACAACCACGGTGCTCCCAACTGCAGGTGGTTGGGTCCCTCGCCTAGGTAATTCTGAAGAGCGAGTAACACGCGCAGCGCGCAGCCGCGGGCGCCTGGCAAGGCGGGCACCTGGCAAGGCGCCGGTCAACCAGGGGCTCGCGGGAGCTGCTCGCGACGCTGCGCAGCGACACGTGCAAAATCTACCGCCCTGCCTTAGCGACGCGTAATTCACAGACAAGGACCAGCGCCTGCCAGCACGCCTGCAGCCGCTCCTTCATGCATAACCCAGCACTGGCAATCCGAATTGGGGCACAACGTGGGCAAGGCAACGTGCGCTGCCATCAAGTGAGCACGCTTGGAGCAAGCTTCCTAGCATGCCTCTTGGCAGCCCTGGCAACCCCACTGGCGAAACTGGCCAGACCACCTCGCTCGAGGCATCTCGGAACCCAGAATTGCGAGGACTATCTCAAACGAAACTGGCCAGACCACATCGCGCACGGCGCCGCTAATCCCATAGTTGCGAGAATCGCATGCGGCCAGAGATACCAGGACGTCACATACGAACCTGGCTGGACCACCTCTCGCGCGGCATCTCTGAGCCCATAATTGTGAGAATGTATCTGGCGACACGGGCCAGACCACTTCGCGAGCGGCGATTCGGAGGCCGAAGTTGCGAGGATGCCTCTGGCGACATTGACCGAACCACTGCGATGAGGGCATCTTGGGGCGTAGAGTTGCGACGATGACTCAGACGACGCTGGCCACGCGCGCTGCATCTCCTAGCCCAGACGCAAGAGGACGTCTCAGGCGAAACTGGTTGGATCCCCTTTCGCGCGGCATGTCGCAGACGAACCTGGCTGGACCACCTCAGGTCAGGTCATATCGGAGCCCAGCAAAGGAGCCCAAGAATGCGAGGGCGTCTCAGGCGTAACTGGTCGGAACATGTCACGTGGCATCTCTGAACCCAAAGTTTCGAGAAAGTCTCTGGCTGGGCCACCTCGCGCGCTGCATCTCCGAGCCCAGATGTCTCTGGCGTAACTGACTGGACCACCTCGCGCACTGCATCTCCAAGCCCAGGGATTTGGGGACGCCGGCATCTCCGAGCCCAGAAATGCGAGAATGTGTCAAACCAAACCGGCCAGACAACCTCAGTTCAGGGCATCTCCGAACCCAGAGTTGCGAGGGTGACCACCCCCGATGTTGGCGGATATCTCTGAACGCTGGCCCGTTGGCCAGAACTAGCTTCTACCGCAACAGGACCCCAGTCAGCACAGCTGCTTGGGGAAGCGCGGTAAAGGATGGCGCGCGAATGGAAGCGGAAGGGGGACGCGAGAGACGAGAAAGAACAGGAGGGGAAAGGGGAAAGAGAGGCGACACTTCCAGCTGGGTTTCCCTGGTTGCGCCATTATGATAATGACATGTGCGCGTGCTGTCAAAACAACGCGGCCCGGACAACCCAAGGATCTGAACACCCCCCCGTGGACAAGCCACCCCAGGTTTTTTCTATCAGATCAAAGGTTTTGGGGGTGAGATCGCAATGGAACGGAGAACCACAACCGGGAAATCGTTTTGTTTCGTTCGTGTCGTGCGTGTGGACGAGGCGAAGCTTCGTGGCCGCGCGAGAGGAAAGAACCTGCCGTTGCTAGGGCGAAATCAAAACAAATGATTCTCCCCCGTCCGTCCGTCTGGCAATGGCTCGCGGTGGCTCGCGGTGACCCGCGGTGTCCCGTGGTGTCCGCCGTTGCTAAGGCGAAGTCGAGACAAATGATTCTCCCCCGTCCGTCCGTCCGGCGGTGGCTCGCGGTGTCCCGCGGTGTCCCGTGGTGTCCGCCGTTGCTCGGGCGAAGTCAAGGCAAACGATTCTCCCCCGCCCGCCCGTCCGTCCGTCTGTCCCGCGGTGGCTCGTGGTGTCCCGCGGTGTCCCGTGGTGTCCAGTTGAGTGAGATCGATAGTGAGATCGATAGTGAGATCGATGTGGTGCCCCGAAGTATCCCGTGGTGTCCCCAAAAATGAAATCGATAATGAGATTGATGTGAGATCGACAGGTGTCCCGTGGTGTCACGTAGTGTCCCGTTGAGTGAGATCGATAATGAGATCGATGTGGTGTCCCGAGCTGTCACGTGGTGTCCCCAAAAAGAAGATCGATAATGAGATCTACAAGTGTCCAGTGGTGTCCCGTGGTGTCCCGTTGAGTGACATCGATAGTGAGATCGATAGTGAGACCGATCGTGAGATCGAGAGGCGTCCCGCGGTGTCCCTTGTGTCCCGTTGAGTGAGATCGATAGTGAGATCGATAATGAGATCGACAAGTGTCCCGTGATGTCCCGTTGAGTGAGATCGATAGTCAGATCGATCGAATCAGATGTAGGCCCCCCCCTCTCCCCCCCACCCACAACCTCCTTATCACCCGAAGGGTGGTCGTAGAGGTATAGTAGCCAGAAAAGGCTGACCTGGAAAGGCTCAGATCGTCTCGCTGGGCCCAACCTCTCAGACCTGTCAGCGGTTCCTCATGTTCAAGGGCTCCAACTCGATGCCTAGCTCCCCTGGTTAGGGTCACTGGCCTGCAAGGGGTGTCGAGCTTCTGGGAACTGCTGCAAACGTATCCTCCGCCTCATTATTCTCCTCCCACTGCCCTACTCTCTGAGGGGGAACGAGCGGCGGAGACCAGCTAAGAGGAAGAAGCATCGACCTGGAATCGGTGACACATCGCGGGTAGATCGGCGATGTGCCCCTGATAACAAATCTGCACGCTCCTTGACGGGGTGTGGCTATCGAGCCCCTATCAACGATGGATGGATACGTCCCCCCCCCAATTAAGCCCCCCCCCGCCCCCAAACTCCCGGAGCCTGCCCCCGTGAGGCTGCCCGTGGCCCCCCCTGCCCCGCCCCCCCCCTCCCCGGCCACGACGACGACGACGACGACGACGACGACGACAACGACGACGACGACGACGACGACGACGACGGCGACGACGACGACGACGACGACGGCGACGACGAGGACGAATGCGCTCTTCCTTGTCCTGGGCGCGCTGGGAGGGGTGGGGGGCTGCGACGCCGCCACGTGGTTCAGGCTGACGAGGCCGAGGACCACCGTCGCGAACTGGGGGCGCCGCGGGGCTCTCGCGGCTCGCGTCCCCGCCGCTTGCCGCCGCCGCCCGACGCGTCGAAGCCGTCCTGCTGCTCCCCGCACTTCTGATTCTTCCCCTCGCCTCTCCCAGTCTCCCTCCTCCTCTGCCTCTCTTGAGGGATGAAAAAAAAACGACCCGACCCTGGGTTACAAATGCGTGGTCTATAAACCTCCTGGGACCCCCCAAAGCCTAGAGCCGGCAGGACGCGGCACATCACGCAGGGTTTACCCTGTCAGCCCACAGGAGTTCCAGCGCACAGCGCCTCGTAAACCAGGGTAGGGGCGTTTTTTCTGCCCTTGATTCTCGGCGTCCTCGCCGTCCCTCCTCCCGAATATCGATTTACCCGATCCCCATCCCCAGCGGCGTGACCTGGGGTCCCAGTGGCCGAGTTACCCCCCGAGATGGGGATATATGTTTCTGTTACTATTTGGGATCCCCTCTTGTTTTGTGCCACGCCGCTTCCACCAGGGTATTGTCGAGCGGGGCCTCGCGGGCCCACCAGCGGGGCGGCTGAGCCCCATTGAACTCACCGCCCCGTGTTGCCTCTCGCCAGCGCCGCCAGCACCGCGCGGCCGAGCTTCTCCCAGGGCGAGGCCAGGCCGAACGAGGCCTATGGTCCCAAGACTCCTCTGCGGAAAACCAGGGGCCCTCGAAACGGCCGCCAGCGGCCACCAGGGAAACCCGGGCGCAACGATGAGGCAAGACGAGGCCGAGAGGACCCAAGAGCACTTCCCTCTCAAAAGGGTGGCCCGAGGGTGGGAGACAAAAAGCCTGCGGCGAGGCGGCATCGCGGCGCAAGCACAGGAGAGAGGGGCCCCATAGGATAACCAATCAACATGTTCTAACATGAGTTTCTGTCTGTTTCTCTTACTATTTGGGATCCCCTCTTGTTTTGTGCCACGCCGCTTCCACCAGGGTATTGTCGAGCGGGGCCTCGCGGGCCCACCAGCGGGGCGGCTGAGCCCCATTGAACTCACCGCCCCGTGTTGCCTCTCGCCAGCGCCGCCAGCACCGCGCGGCCGAGCTTCTCCCAGGGCGAGGCCAGGCCGAACGAGGCCTATGGTCCCAGGACTCCTCCGCGGAAAACCAGAGCCCCTCGAAACGGCCGCCAGCGGCCACCAGGAAAACCCGGGCGCAACGATGAGGCAAGACGAGGCCGAGAGGACCCAAGAGCTCTTCCACGTCTCCCTACCTGGTTCACCGCCTTGAAACCACCGCAGGGGGGGAGGCCACATCGTAGGCCAGCAAGCTCCCAAGAAACCTCCATCTTTCGAGGGTTGACATCGAAACGCGCAATTCTGAGAGAGCCTGCTGGCCTTCTGTGAGGTATATACGAGCCGTCGCCGTGTCTTGCCAACGCCCTCTCTCTAGAGTGGCAGGCATATTACGAGTGCGACGGAAGAACGATGTGGCCCCCCCCCTCTTCTTAAACTGTATGGCTTAAATTGAATCTGCTGGCAACCGATAGCAGCACACAGCTGCTCAAATATACGTCTGGAATCACCAATTGAAGATGGCACTATCTGTTGGTCTGACGGAACATGTCGTAATAAATACGATATCAGCTGTGTCACCGAGGCGTCCTCAATCACGACTGTCTCCTGTCGATGAAACCCCAGGCCACTTTTTGTGACTGGCAGCACTACAACTATTCTGGCGCGAGCCTCGTCGATGGCGACCTGCCAGCGCCGCAAGGTCAGCATCTCGGTGGTCCTCAGGAAGGCCGCGAAGCCGAGGACCAGCAGCGCCGCGACGTCGTTGCGGCCCCAGCCACGCGCGGTGGCAGCCAGCGCCGTCAACACAATGTCAGGCATCGGAAGCACTCGCTGCGGCAGCTCTAGTCTCTGCCAAGCACGAAGCAGCCTCCACGACGCTGGCAGGATGCGCTTCTTGCGCAAAAAGGACTGGACGGCTGACAGAATGTTCCCTGCCAAGCCCTGAAGATGCCCTTCAGTCCAGAGCCACTCGATCCAGTCGGCCACCAGCAGATCCAGTTGATCAATGTGGTCGGCACCTCCAGACCAAGAAAGCCCTCTCATGGCAACCCAATCTAAAAAAAAACATCTCACTGCATTCTGATATACCTCCAGGGTCCGTGGCTGCACCAGATTGCGTGATAGGCGACCCACCGCGGCCCGAAGCTGACGACGCGTAGCCTGATCCTGCGCTGCTCTGACTCTGTGTTGAACTCGACCTGGCATGAAGTCAACTAGAAGCCACAGCCGCTCCCCTCGACGGGTTGTCCGCGGGGTTGCAGTCAGTCTCCGTGTAGCCATGCGCGGGGCGGGCAAGAGCAGCCAAGATCAAGGCACCAATGCGTCGAACGGTAACATGCAGCAAGTGAGATGATGATCGGCCTCTGGTAATGACTCCGAGACCAGCTTGAGAATCCATCAGATGACAAAAGCGGGTGCGTAAATGTTGAAAGGATCTGAAGCGCCATCGCGTGGCTCCCAGAGTGGCTCTCGCCTCAAGGTCCGCGATGTGGGACGGGTGCTTCCAGTCCCAGATGGCGGTGGCCTTCCACGACCAGCGCGCCACACTGACTGGTCGCCTGGGCCACAGATCAGGCCGCATCGCCTCGAACGTGTCAAGCCTGATGTCGCTGCCTCTGGCCTCGGCACGGCGGGCCAGCTCTTCCACGATGATGATGCTGGGGTCCAGCGCGGCATCCTCACTCTCGAGATCGTGCTGGCGCGCACCAAGACACCGTCGTCGTAATCTATCTGGTCCATGCTGACTGTGGCATCGGCGATGGTGGCGCCACCTCCAGTCTCACGCATCTGCCTGACGGAGGGGATCTCGGTCAGGTAGCCTGCTCTCAGAGCCCAGTGGGCCAGCACCCAGGCGACAACCACACATTGAAAGCTGTTCCCAAGCAGAGCGCACCGGCAACATTCCAGATCAGCTTTCTCGAGCTTGCGCGCTCTAGTCACTCGTGCCGTGATCGTGTGCCCTGGGAGGAAGTCGAGCAGCAGCTCTCTCTCTCGACACTCGAGGGGGGCCTTCGGCTGCCGTCAGGCTCCTCGATGCAGTTGATGTCCTGGAACTGATAGGGCGCGTAGCAGCAGTTGAACCTGCGCCAACGCTCGACTTCGTGACCTGCACACTTGTCGAGACCTGGCGGGAATTGACCTGGAGCACGACGAGGAACACAGCGCAGGAAGGTGGGCAGGCGGAAGTCCTCCTGGACGTCACCCTGCCACTGAAGCCCAGCGGCCAGCCAGCGTTTAACTGGACCGGGACCGTCCGAGATCACGACGTGCTTCACCGAGTCCATGACAAACGAGTCGCCCTGCCACGGCGTCAACAGCTCCTCCTTGATCCAATACAAGCGGTCACGCTGGCAGTGCGTGACATCACCCGCTGAGATGCACACAGGTTCGCATCCCAGGGAATGTGACATCAACTGTCGCGGTTCCGAATCCATTGAGGCCACGTTCTCAACCAGGGATAGCACCGTGCAGAAATCACCCAGCGCCTCGCGCAGAAGAGACACAATGCGGTTTATCTCGTAGAACAGACGTGAGCGTCTCCCTTGAAGGCCAGCACGCTCAACGTTGATGCGGGCCAGGTCGCTGCAAGGGCTACCGGCCACCACTAGTATCCATTTCACATGCGGAACTCGTTCATGGATGGCCACCGCCTCGGCGAACCCAAAGGAAGGAGCAGACGTCGCCGATTTCCAGCACGTCCGGCCACGCATACTTGGTCACTCGCTTCGCCTCGGCGTCGATCTCGGCGGACACGAACAGCGCGGGAGTGAGCCCCAACAGGTCCAGGGCGCGGCGAGCCCCACCAATGCCGTCGAACAAGGACAGGAGCACCACCTCGTCGCGGAAGTCAGTCACCAGCCTTCGGCTGGCCGCTCTCGCAGCGGCCACTCCATCAGGCCGAATGCGAACAGCTCGACACACGGCTCCACGCTGCATGCTGGCATCCGAGACCGTCACCAGCCCGCTGATCGGCACGCGCAGGTCACAGCGAAGTAACGGGAGCAACGTCAAGGCCGACACCAGCTCCTCGCGTACCTTACGCGGCACCTTCGCATCACCACGCAACTTCACCAATAATCGCCACAAGTGAGTGAAGCACATCATCGCCTCGCGCCTGAACAGGAGGCACCGAACCCATCGGCCCGCCAGGATCTGCATCCACTTCTGAGTCACTGTGGGCCTTTGCAGAGTCGCCAGGGTGTGGGAGATCAGCCGTCGCACGACATCTGCGGGCGGCCCGATGGTGCCGCGATCCCCATCGATCGCCTCCCCGAGGGACTGCGTCGCGGTCTCGCGGATGACGGCCTTGTTCTCGCTTCTTGGCACGTTGAAGTGCTCATGCCTCCGACGGGCCAGGTCGGCCGCCTCGCTGATCCCCTCCTCCTGCAGGGACTTGGCGTGCCACCAGTCGGTGATCTCCAGCACATCCAAGTTGTCGATGTACACCTGCCAGGCCCTCCAGAGGGCTGGCGTGTTGAAGCGCTCCAACCACTTCGCGATCAGAACATCGCCGTGGCAGGCCTGGTGCTCCTTGCAGTGGCAAAGCAGCCGAGCACCACTCAGAGAGGATAAGTCGGCCAGAAGGTCGGGCGACTTCTCCAGGTGCTCTGCGAATAGCTCGATGACCCGCCTCCTGTCCAGACCATCCCGAATGCGGAACGGGTTGCCCCACTTCGATGGAGCTAGCTGCAGTGAGCTGGAGCCGCGCCCGATGTAGATCGTCCGCTTGTCGTCATCATAAGTGCGGCCGACCTCGCCACGGACGGGAGCCACTCCTGAGTTGTGAGAGCCACCTCGGCGAGCAGGAGGAATAGGAGCGTCCTTGCGCAGCTCCTCCGACGCCGAGAGCTGACGTAGCTCAGGATGTCGGGCTCGAAGAAGGCGACGATGAATGTGCTGAATCACCCCGGTGGCCGATATCCATCCCATGGGCACGACGGCGGCGTATATCATGCCCTTGCCTGAATGCCCAGCGACGCACCTCCTCACGGGCTTTGAGATGGCCATGTATTTCAGCCACACATCGCCGAGGCTGTACACGTAGAAGCAGCACTTCAGATCCTCCGCGCTCCAGAGCATCACCTCTCCAGACCTGAGGATCACGCTCTTCCACTTGTCGCTGTGGGGCAGCATCGGCATGTCGCCCTCGATAGTATTCTGGATGAAGTTGGAGGGGATGGTGTTCATCACCAGCCGCTGCGGCCCCTCGCCCTTCAAGTGGGAGCCCTTCTTCACGCCGAACATGCCCCCCATCACCTTTCGCCCTTGAACCTCCACGATGTCCTCGTACTCAATCGTCTTGAGAATCCCCCTCTCGAGTAGGTCGCCAGCGATAAGCTCCCATTCCTCGTTCGAGGCCCAGACCTTCGGAGTGGGGGGCAGGCTGCCAAGCTCCGACTCGCCCTTCAGGATCAGACCTGGATCGGAGAGGGCAGCTCTGATCCAGCCCTCTGTCACATCGACGGCCCTCGCGGCAGCGCGCGCCTCTCGAGGAGGCAGGGCTTCGAGTAAACGATCACGGTAAAGGGGCTCGGCAGGGAACACCTCCTCGCCGTCGTAGGAAGTGGCGGCGGAACAAAGGTCGGTGTCCCAGTCGATGTCAGGGATCAGGCCAGCGCACTGCTCACGAAAGACTCTGACCTCATAGAGAAGATTATTGAGGGCCTTGCGCTGAGTGGCGCTTGGAGGGCCGTGAGGCGCATGGACCCAACTGCGAGTGTAGTGTAAGTTGAGACCTGACACGATACAATGCAGCCAATCTAACTCCTCAGACTTCGCAGCTGCCAGCTCTTGACCGCCCTCACGAATGTCTCCGCGACGCTGAGGAGCAGCCAAACCATGAAACACGATCGGGAGCGGGCGAAGATCCCGACGCTCTCGCCGACCGTTCGGTGATGGAAGCGGATCTCCATAGACTGCATCATATTCGGAAACCAGCGAAGCCGTCGAGGGAGTGCGTAAAGAAGCCGGGTGTGAGATATCATCGCATTCAGGAGTAACGTCAGCTTTACCAAATGACTGATTGACTGAATTACCAGTGGATGCACGTAAAGAAGCCAAGTGCGAAGAGTCGCCTGTCTCGCCGTGAGCCGCCTCAGAGGCAGACCCAGCACCGCCAGTAGCGGTAGCCAGGGTAGGCGACGGCGACCTCGAACGATGCAATGCGGACTTGCGTTCAGTGCCAGGGTGTAGCGCAGGAAGTAGCCGAGACAGCAGAATGGCGCCGAAGTCCTCAACGGATGAACTGGGCAGCGCACAGGACAAGGAAAATGACTTCTCGGAGACATCCTTCGTGCCACAGGCGACAGTGTGCTCCGCGTCATGCAAGGAGTCAAGACTAGATGACCTCTGGGATGAGATCTCCGACTCCTGATCATCGATTGGAATGTCATTCTTCTCATACTCAGACGGAACAACCATCATGTCTGTGGGAGCTAGGCGCGCCGCTTGCCTTTGCTCTTGCCCTTCGACTTGCCCTTGGAGCCGGGGCCCTGCCACCTGTCCGACTTGCCGCCGCCCTTGCCTTTCTTGAACTTCGGCTTGCCCGAGCTCGTGGTCTTCGCCTTCTCGGCCTTGCGCTGCGGTGAAGGTGAACCTGGGCGGCTCCTCGGCGCTGGCGACTGCTGCAGTCCGCCTTGCTCGACCTGATCGGCGAAGTGCACGCGCCTCGCTGGCGACGCTGGCCGCGTCTCCCTTCCAGCAGGTGGGCGCAGGATCGGTCGGCGATCGGGGCCAGGGCTCACGGCGCCGCGCGCGGCGGCGGCTGGTGACCCTGGGGCGCCAGACGCAGGAGGATGCGAAGCTGCGGGGCTGGCCGACTGCTGCGCCTGCCCTCCTCCGCGAGCTGCTGGTGCTGCAGCCTGCTTCTTCGCGGCGGCAGCCTGCCTCCGCTCCTTCCTCCAGCGCGTCTTTCGTGATGCCTTCACGCGCTCCACCATGCCGCCGGGCTTGTTGGCCGTCGGGTTTGAAGAGAGGATGCCAGGGGTTGGAGATGGCCTCCGAGAGGGCGGCGCCCGAGGCTGTCCGCTGCCCTCTCGGCCTGACCCCTATCCTGCGCCACCTCCCTTCTTGGCCTTCGCCACGCTCTCGGCCAGGCCAAACATCCTCTCGCGCTTGCTCACGGCGTCGTGCACCTCCTCCTGGCGAGCGAGACCCACGCCCAGGTCGTCGCACAGCTCGAGATGCTGGGCCACCTGCCAGTGGCCGTCCTTGGTAGCCTGCTCGATCGCCTTCAGCCTCTGCATCAAGAGATCGCCCAGGTGATCCAACTCTCCTCTGAGCAGCGCGTCGAGACACTCGCCGACAGTCCGCATCTCGCGAACATTTCTCACCCCCATCTCGCTCTGCGGGTGGTGACCGTGCCAGACGCTCGCGATGTACTGCACCACCGTCGCCGCCAGCTCGCCCAGGCCCTTGTCGGTGTCCGCCCCACCACGCCGTGCAAGATAGCGCTTGATCTGATCCATTCCGCTCGACAGGAGAGCTCCTGGAGCGGCCTGGGCAAGATGGGCTATCCTGCGGCCTGGGTCGACGTGGGGGGCGCCGTCAAAAACTGAGCCATCGGAGCTGCTGTCGTCACCAGTGCGTCGTGCCCGCCTCCTCTCGCGACGACCCACTCGACGACCGCCAAGAGCCTGCCCAGCACGCTCAGCGAGGGCCTCACCTATCCCACGCTTGCGATGCAAGCGTAGGCGCAATTCAGCTACCTTCTTCTTCAGCTCCTCGGGGGTAGGCTCCGAGCCAGCCACGGCACCTCCAGCGGCAGCTCCAGGCGGGCCAGCACCTCCGACGGATCCGCCAGGGAGGCCAGCGGCTGACTGCCCCCCAGCGGCTCCACGACTGGCCAGCAGCGCCTGAGCCCACGGCTCAGTCACCCCCGTGGAGCTTCGCATGCGGTAGGTCTCCACGTGCAACACGGAGCGCTGAGGCCACTGCACCAACCCTGAGCACACGCTGGCCTGCTGGGTACACAGATGCAGCACCGCGCCACCAAGGTGATTGAAGCTCCCCGACAGCATCGGCCACAAGGCGGCACTGCTGCAGCCCAGGAAAGACGCCTCCACGAAGACACCCATGCCGTCGCCAGGCCACACGCTCTGGATGGTGAACAGCGCCGTGCCGACTGCGCTCCCGAAACTGTCCAGGGTCACGCACTCGAGCAATCCTCCTGGCGACAGCCCAAGCCGCTGGTACGCCATCGGCGACGAAGGGCCGTGCACCCAGGGTCCTGCTCCTCCTGGCGGTGCCGATAGATCGAAGCCACACCCTCCTGGAGGCCCGACTCCACCACCAGCTGCAGGCACCCAGCCCAGCAGGCCACCGGCACCTGGGGCTGCTCCTGCACCTGCGGGCACGCCTCCAGCTCCACCGCCGAGAACGCCGCCAGCAGCCGGGGCCCAAGCACCAGCGCCGCCGTGACCTCCGACGCCGAGAGCACCTCCTCCCAGTCCAGGAACAGCTCCAACGGAAGGTCCTGCCACGCCCCCAGCTCCACCGACCACAACGGCCGCACCACCCGCTAGAGGGGGAGGCGCGAGCCCGCCCAGCGGGCCTCCTCCACCGGCAGCGCCAGCCATCCCAGGCGGACCTCCGCCTCCAGCTGCCACCATGCCTGCAGCCGCTCCGACTCCCGCGGGCAGTCCACCGCAGCCACCTGCCAGTACTCCAGGAACACCTCCAGCCTGCACGCCCGCGCCAGCGGCTCCTCCACCTGGCGGGCCATCTGCGACAGGAGCTGCCGCGGCTCCTCCGACGGCACCGTCCGCTGCGGCTGCACCACGACCACCTCCTCGGGGCCGAGCCGCCACGCCTCCGCGGCCTCGAGCGCCCGCAGCAGCCGCGGCCGCACGCGCTCGCCTGCCGCCCGCAGCCCCGCGTGCAGCGGCCGCGCGTCCTCCGCGGGCTCCAGCGGCGCCTCGCCCGTCTCCGCGACCGCCGCGACCGCGGTTGCCTCCGCGGCCTCCTGGGGGCGCGGGCAGCGCGGCAGCTGCGCCCGCGGGCAGCGCAGCGAAGCCGCCAGCGGCGCCGCCCGCGGCGGCCGCCGCCATCACATGGCCGAGCCGCCGCGCCTGCGGCAGGCGGCGCACCTGCACCTGAGGTCCCCCCCTGACCTCAGGCTTTCAAGACAAAAAGCCTGCGGCGAGGCGGCATCGCGGCGCAAGCACAGGAGAGAGGGGCCCCATAGGAGAAACAATAAACATGTTCTAACATGAGTTTCTAGGCCGCATCCTTCGGGTTTCGAGGGGTGCATCCCCAACTGGGGTGGCAATTTGGTGGGGGTCTCGAAGGGGATGGGGATGGGGATGGGGATCGGATAAACGATACTGACTCGCCGTCCCTCATCCATCCTCTCCTCTTTAGGCCTGAACTGCATCCGAAACCTTTTTCTGAGCAGGGACCGACCGTCCCGGCACTCCTATAGTCCTACCACGAATTGTTCTTAGAACCCAAAAGTGTTCTAAGAACAACAACCATGTTCTTATAACAAAAACCCGATGTGATAAAACAAGGTAGACTCCGCCAGAACTGTCCTAAGAGCATTTCGCTGAAACCACAAGGGGTTCTCAGAACTTTGTTTGTATAGGGCCATGGGCGAGCCAGGACGCTTCGCCACTGCTTGACCCCGGGCAGCCTCAGAACCCAGACCCTCGACGCCATGACTTTTTCATGACGTGACCCCCAAAGACGTCCGGACCCCTTCCCCGGGACCATCCCGAGCCGTTTTTTGACGGTAATGAGGGCCGGTAAGGGTCCCCTGAGGCCGAAAATTGCGAAAAACCTCGCGTCGTGATTTTTTCATGACGCGACCATCAGAGGTCCGGACCCCTTCCCCGGGACCGGTTTTTCACCCTGAGTCGTTTTCTGACGGTCCTGAGGGCCGGTGAGGGCCCCCGGAGGCCGAAAATAGCGAAGAACCTCCCGTCGTGAATTTTTCATGACTCGAGGGGTCTGGGGAGGGAGGAGGGGGGGAGGGAGGGAGGGAGGGAGGAGGGCCGGAAGTATGGACCAACCTCCCGTCGTGACTTCTCGCGCGCGTGAGCTCGCCCTGCCGGCACGGGCCCGGCGGCGCCGCTCGCCGCCGAGCGAGGCCGCGTCGGAGGCAGGCGCGGAGGGAGGGGGGCAGGCGGCCTGCCTCCGCCGCCGGGGCGGCGCCGCGGCGCCGCCGCTGCCCTCGGCTCGAGTCGGGCGTGCCCCCCTACCGGAGGAGTATCCCCAAATCCGCCGATGCGGCGTGTGCGTTTCTGAGAGCGTGGACTTGAGCTCGCTCAAGCTTCGCTCTGCAGGGGGGGGGGGGGGGGGGGGCGCACGTTATTTCCGACGTCATTTCCCTCGTTTTTCGGTCCACGGGGACAGGGGGGTATGGAAAGCTCCAATTCCGGAGCCCCGACAGCTCGCCTGGGCGCGCCTGGGAGCGCCTGGGAGCGTGCTGGGAGCGCCTGGGACCGCGTCCCTCCACCGGAGGAACATTCCCAAATAGGCAGAAACATAGTATGTTTTTTGGTGACAAAAACATAAACAAGAAAGTACTTATACATGTACATCTAAAAAGATGTTGAACATTGCTTGACTATTTGTGTTTTTCGCCCAGAACCCGTCTGTAGGGGGACGTACCCGACCTAACCCTCGGCTCTTCCCGCTCCTCGGCCTCCTCGCCATCCGCCGCCGCCCCCGTCTCTCGGGCTGGGCGAAAGGGGGGGGTAGCAAAGGGAGGGTTTGAGAATCAACTCACGTAGCTGATTTTCCCGGCGCCTCCCAGCGCTGGGAGGCGGCCATGCATCGAGGAATGGGCCCCTCGGTGGGGCCGAAACCAGCTGCATGCAGCAGATTTCGTACCCCCCCCTTTCCCTATCCCCCCCTTTCGTCCGGCCCGAGTCTCCCTGGAGTGCAATAGGAGCTCGACCACAAGAAACCTTCCACAAGAAACCCAAACCTTGAGAACCCAGGACGTCCATTGATGGTTGGTGTGGGAACGTCACTCCCTGCTCCACCTCCTCCCGGCGTCTTCGGAGATGCGCCTGCAATGAGCGTCGTTTATCCGATCCCCATCCCCAGCGGCGTGGCCTGGGCCCCACTGGCCGAGTTACCCCCCTAGATGGTGATATAAGTCGTTCTCTTCGGGTCTCGAGGGGTGCATCACCAACTGGGGTGGCAATTTGGTGGGCGTCTCGAAGGGGATGAGGATGGGGATAGGGACGGGGATCGGTTAACCGCTACCGATGCAAGGTGTTCGATCACGGCCTTTGGTGTCTCGCTCCCGCCTCCCGTCGACGAACAGCCGCGCCGGCTCCACAGATGGTCCCTCGCGTCCTCGCCGCGGCCTGCCGCCGATGCCGCCGCTCGCCCGTCGGCGGCTCCGGTGTCTGAGCCCGCGCCCGCCCCCCGTGGGTCGCCCCACTGGTCGCCTCCCGAGTCGCACGCACGTTTCCCGACTGACCTGGCCGGAGGAGGAGGAGGAGAGGGAGGGGGAGGAGGAGGAGGAGGAGGAGGAGGAGGAGGAGGAGGAGGAGGAGGAGGAGGAGGAGGAAGGAGGAGGAGGAGGAGGCGGCGGAGGAGGAGGAGGAGGAGGGGGACCCGCGTCGGAGGAATCGAAACGATCCCTGGAGGCTCGACTCGATACGCAGTCGGTTCCCACCAGCAGCGATGCGGACGCGGAGCCCCTTCGTTCGTGGGCCGCCCCCGCTCACACCGCGTGGAGACAAACGGGCTACACACCGCGCCGTGTCGCCGACGCATCGGCGACACGGCGCGATCTTCTGGGCGGCGGCGCCGCTCCGTGCCCGCGCGCCCTCCCAGAGCGCAGAGAGGACGGGCGGCCCCGCGCCGCGAGGCGCTCCCAGATGGGCCTGTGCCCGCCTACAGGCGAGTGGAGGAAGACGAGGAGGAGGAAGACGAGGAGGAGGAGGAGGAGGAGGAGGAGGAGGAGGAGGAAGGAGGGAGGAGGAGGAGAGGAGGAGGAGGAGAGGAGCGAGGAGGCGCGAGGAGGAGGAGGGGAGGAGGGAGGGAGGAGGAGGATGAGGAGGGGAGGAGGAGGAGGAGGAGGAGGAGGAGGAGGAGGAGGAGGAGGAGGAGGAGCGAGGAGGAGGAGGGCGGCCGCGACAGAGGGCGAGGGCCAATGCAGGAGTGGCCCCATTGGTGCGCGGCTCCCGGGGGCCGTGGGGAGGCCACGCCCCGGCGAGCGAGCCCGTGCTCAGGGAGACCCCCGTGGTGAAGGGGCCCCAGGACACACACACACAGAAATACACACAAACAAAAGGATCCCCCTATGCTTTCCCACATTTTCTGGGCTTCTGTCTTCCCCCCCACTTCCCATCTTTTCCCACATTTCTGGGGAATCGACGATGGCTTGTGTCTGTGTGTTTTTTCCCTCCTGACGTGGGCCCGCACCAGGAAGATCACCCCAACGACGCGCCACTCTTGCGCGCATCCGGTCTTCCCCGGCACCGGCTTCTCATCTCGGGCCGGGCGAAAGGGGGGGATAGCAAAGGGGGGGGTTGAGAATCGGCTCGCGCAGCTGCTTCTCTCCCGGCGCCTCCCGGCGCCGGGAGGCGCCCATGTGTCGAGGAATGGGCCCCGCGGCGGGGCCGAAACCAGCTGCATGCAGCAGATTTCGTACCCCCCCCCCCTTTCCCAATCCCCCCCCTTCGTCCGGCCCGACACTCCTGCGCGCATCCGATCCTCCCCGGCATCGGCTTCTCATCCTGGGCCGGATCTCCGACCGCCCCAGAAGGCCGGCGAGGGCCTCCCGGAGGCGGGTGGGCTGCCGAGCACCCCTCGCCGTGCTGTCCTCCTGCTGGGCGGCGCGCCCCCTGCCGTGCCCTCGCCGCAGCGGGCGGGCGTCCGGGTCCCAGGCAGGCGAGAGAGGCGGAGGCAACGATATGGGGCGGCGGGCACAACACGAGTTCGCCAGGGAGCCCCGCCGAAGACGTGGACCACGGGCGCCCCTGGACACACGTGTTGCCCCCCCCCCCCCCCCTTCGGGGCTATTCGCCCCTGTCGTCGCCTCCGAGAGAAGCACGCGCGGCGGGGGAGGGGGCTTAGGGGCAACGATAAGGGGTAGGGGGAGGCTGGCATAGGGCGGCAGACATCGACCTGGAATCGGCGATATATCGACGATAGATCGGCGATGTGGACAGGAATTGGTGATACATCGCCGACAGGTCGGCGATATGCCAACGATAGCGAACCCACACGCTCCTGGGCGGGGTGTGGCTGTCCGATCCCGATCGGCGATCAATGTAGGGAAACAGACAGTGGCACAACCATAAAAAACTCGGAGGTCCGCGAGGATTGCTCCGATCGGCGGTGGACCCCCCTCCCTGGCGCGCGGAGCGAGCCAGGAGCGGCGCCTGAGGCGCCGCCAAGAGGCGCCAGCACCGATCCGAGCAATCCGCGCGGACCTCCGAGTTTTTATGCTTGCGTCGCTGCCTGTACCCCTACAGTGGGCGACCCCCCCTGTCCTTGCTCATGAGTAGAGGTCAAAGCATCCACCCTCATAATAACCACCCCGACAAGCGAAGTCGTTGAGTACCCGTGCCCGGAGAAGGAATCGAACAGGGCGGGGCTGTTGAATAAACGCCCAGGTCCGGTTCACAAAACGCCAACTGTCCGGTCGGGGTGGTCTCCCCTCCCTTGACTAGAGGCCTCCCCAGATGGTGTCCGAGTCGATGGTGTCGGAGGATCGCGCCGCATCGCCGATACATCGGCGATGCATCGGCGATGCACCGGCGATGCACCGGCGATGCCACGGCGCCGTCGGCGACGCATCGGCGGCGACGACCTGAAGCACATCGGGCTGCACATCGAGCCGCATCGGCGATGCATCGGCGATGCGGCGCGACCCTCCGACCCCGTCTGCTCCGACCCCCTCTCTAGGAGGCCCAGATTGACTGAGGAGGCCTAGATTGACTGGGGTGGCCTCCCTAACTACTTCTTCCTCTTTCGCCTGTTCCCTCCCTACTTCTTTCGCCTGTTCGCCTGTTCCTCCCTGTTCCCTCCCTAGGGGCGCAAGGCGCCCGCATGGCGCCCACGAGGCCCATCTCCGCGAGGCTGCGCCTGCGGCGGGGCGCGCGGGGGCGCCGCCCGCATGGGGGGGCGGCGGGGCGAGGCGGCGGGTGGGGGGCGGCGGCGGGGGCAGCGGCGCAGAGGCGAACGGCCCAGGGGCCTGTTTTCCACTACCACTGTCATAAGTAGGGAAGGGAGGGGGTTCTCCTCGTCCTCCTCCTCCTCCTCCTCCTCCTCCTCCTCCTCCTCCTTCCTCTTCCTCCTTCCTCCTTCCTCCCTCCTCCTCCTCCTCCTCCTCCTCCTCCTCCTCCACCTCGGAGAGCAGCACGTGTATAATCAACGCGTGTGATAAGAATGCACGATGAAGACGGATGCAGGGGCCCTGGAAGGCCATGTCGACACTTTTCGAGCGGGGCGCGGCCACAGGCAATGGCCACAAATGGGCCGACAAAAAGAAGATGCAACAACAATCCTTTGAACATCGATATCCTTACTATCCGTGTTGACTGTATTCAGGGGCGCCGATGGTCCATGACTTCGGCGAGGCTCCTGGGCGACAATCGCAAGATCGTTCCATGTTGTCTGATTCTGGGCCCCTGGCGGCGCTCAACCTTGAACATCTGCGACGGGGTCGTCGCCGCGACGAAACGACACGAACCTACTGCAGAAGGACAGCAAGCCGTATCAATGTAAACTTTCGGATGTTCGCGCGGGCCGTGGCGCTGGAGGCGCCGCCAAGGGGGGTCAGCGCGGATCCAAGAAATCCGCGCGGACCTCTGACATCTCATGTTTATGCAACGTGTTCTACTTAGATGTTCGTGGGCGCGATGAGAAACTGCTAAACGTTAGCCATGCGGCCGGGCTGCACGGCAGCCAAGCCAGGTTTGGGACAGACCCGATCCCATGGTGATCGAATGCAATGCCGTCGGTCTGGACTGAGCTTGATCAGGCCAGTAGCAACACGGCAACGACCGAATCCCAAACCACCACGCTCCCTGGGACGCGCGCCGCCCCGGGCACTATACCCTTGCCGTCGCTCGGACGTCCATTTCCCGTGCATTAATTCGGTTTTGTGCGTGTTTTTTTTGCTCGATGGTCCAGGATGGTCCTCGATGGTTCTCGCCGCGAAAAAATGCACACGTCTGAGCGATGCCAAGTCCCTGGATCCTCGATCCACGAAGTTCGGATCTCTCTCCACGTCCTCGGCCCTGTCTGGGCCCGGAGGCCTCCAGCGAGGCCCCCCGGAACCCCCGAAGGCCTCCGAGGGAGCTCTGGGGAGCTCCAAGGACCTCGGGGTCTCCCGAGGACCTCAAGACTCCGTCGTGGCATCCCCAGGTCACCTAACTTCGCGCTTCGCGCTTCGAGCCTTCGCGCCGCGCGCCGTCCTGCGGGTGACCCAGCTGCTCTTCCGATAGCCTTCCGCCCCTCTCGCCTTGAATTAAACGCAAGACGGACCCTGGGGCAGCAATGGCCTGGGGTGATGAGCGGCTTTCCGGGGCAGCAAGGGGCGTCCTCCTCCTCCTCCTCCTCCTCCTCCTTCTCCGCCTCCTCCTCCTCCTCCCCCCCCTCCCCCTCCTCCCCCCCACCTCCTCCTTCCTCCTCCTCCTCCTCCTCCTCCTCCGCCTCCTCCTCTCCTCCTCCTCCTGCTTCCTCCCCCTCTTCCTCCCCTCTTCCTCCTCCTCCTCCTCCTCCTCCTCCTCCTTTTCTTCCGTTTCTTCCTTTTCCTCCTTTTCCTCCTTTTCCTCCTTTTCCTCCTTTTCCTCCTTTTCTTCCTTTTCTTCCTTTTCCTCCTCCTCCACAATTACTCAATATGAATACTGCTCTCCCTCTTCCCCTGATGGCGTGCTGGGAGTGGCCGACCCCCCCGCGTGCTGTTTTTTTACACACAGGATTCCCGGGAGTTGGGTTTCCGCCTGCATTTTTTTCAAAATGCTGCTCTCGCTGAGGCGCCGGCCTCATTTCTGCTCCCGAATCGTTCCGACTCGTGCTCCTGCTGCAGCGTGGGCCTCGTTTTCGGATCGGTGTCGTTGGCCTCCGTCGTTCAGGATGGCGTTCTCGCCCCAGCGCGGGCCTCTTTCTCGCGCGCCCATCCGCCCGCCACCACCGCGCCGCACCACCACCCACCAAACCACCAACCACCACCACCACCACCACCACCACCACAGCACCACCACCACCACCGACCACCCGCACCCGCACCCGCACCCGCACCCCACCCGCACCGCACCCCGCACCCGCAACCCGCACCCGCACACCGCACACCGCACCCGCACCCGCACCCCGCGACCCGGCACCCGGCACCCGCACCCGCACCCGCAACCCGCACCCGCACCCCATCCAAGCACCCGCACCCGCACCCGCACCCGCACCCCACCGCACCCGCACCAGCACCAGCACCAGCACCAGCACCAGCACCAGCACCAGCACACAGCACCAGCACCAGCACCAGCACCAGCACCACACCAGCACCAGCACCACACCAGTACCACCAGCACCAGCACCAGCACCAGCACCAGCACCAGCACCAGCACCAGCACCACCACAACCACGCCACACGCACGCACGCACGCACGCGCACCACCACCCACTACGCACGCGCGCGCGGAGCCACAGGTCCGCTACGACACGCGTCCGCGGATAGAGAAAATCAGCGCCATGGTAAGGGATGGGAGGGAGGGGTAGGACGTCAGAAATGACGCGAGCGCACCTAGCTTGTCCTACCTCCTCCCCCTCCTCCCCCTCCTGCCCCTCCTCCCCTCCCTCCATCCTCCCCCTCCTCCTCGTACCTCTCTCCCCACCTCCTCCCTCCTCTCTCCTCCTCCCCTCCTCCTCCTCCTTTTCCTCCTCCTCCTCCTCCTCCTTTTCTCTCCTCCTCCTCCGCCTCTCCTCCTCCTCCTCCGCCCCTCCTCCTCCCCTCCTCCTCCTTCCTCCTCATCCTCCTCCACCTCCGCCCCTCCCTCCTCCTCCTCCTCCTCCCTCCTCTCCTCCTCCTCCCTCCTCCTCCTCTCCTCTCTCCTTCCTCTTCCTCCTCCGCCTCCCTCCTCCGCCCTCCTCCTCCTCCTCCTCCCCTCCTCCTCCTCTCCTCCTCTCCTCTCCCCCTCTTTCTTGTTCCTCCTCCTCCTCCCTGATCCTGCCTCCCCCCCCCTGCCCCCCCTCCTCCTCCCCTTTTTCCTTCTTTTCCATGCTTTTTCCTTCTTTTTCCTTTTTTCCTTCTTTCCTTCGTTTCCTTATTTTCCTTATTGCCCTCATTCCTTCTTTCCTCCTCTCCTCCTTCCTCCTCCTCCTCCTCCTCCTCCTCCTCCTCCTCCTCCTCCTCCTCCTCCTCTCCTCCTCCTTGTCCTCCTTTCCTCCTTTCCTCCTTTTCCTCCTCCTACTCCTCCGCCTCCTCATCCTACCTCCTCCTCCTCCTCCTCCTACCTCCTCCTCCTCCTCCTACCTCATCCGCCCTCCACCTCCCCCTCCCCCGCATCCTCCTCCTCCCCTGCTCCTGGCTCCCTCCTCCTCCTCCTTCCTCCTCCTCTCCTCCTCCTCCTCCTCCTCTCCTCCTCCTCCTCCTCCTCCTCCTCCTCCTCCTCCTCCTCCTCCTCCTCCTCCCCCCTCCAACGTTCCTCCTCTTCTCCCTCGGCATCCCTCTGGCGGGGGGCAGATTCAAGCGCGCAGGCCACTGCTGGGGCTACTCCTGCGGGAAAGCTCCCAAAAGTCACTCCAGCGCTCCCGCGAAAGGTCACTCTTGCGCGTAGGCTTACGCTGGCCCGGAGGTCGCAAGACGATGCCGCAGCGGCCGCCTGCGCCTCGGCCGAGCGTGGCCTGAAAATACATCGGCCAGACTGCTGTGGACACCAATCGTGCCCCGACCGGAAGGGTGCGTTGTGTCGAGGAATGGGCGAGGAACGCCAATTCTACCCGACCATAATGTCTTGTCGTTTCTGGATCCAATCAATTGTACAACAACCAATGAATAACGAGAGCATCCCTAGTAGTCACGACTGTGACGCCAACCATGAGGCCAACAACAGCCCACTGCATAGAACACCGACCGAAACTAACTCTCGACGCTACTTTTTTTTTCCGCCGAACCGCACGAAACAGGTTGGAGGTAGCCCACTGCCCAGAATTACTTACTGCACAGCAGACGTCAAGACGGTTATCCTCTGAACACGGTGCCCATCGAGTGTACCATTAGGTCGGGCATGTCCTCCTACAGGCGGATTTTGCACGACCAAATGAAACTAGTCTCAAGCAATACACAGAAATACTCAACACAACATCAAATAAACGTTGCTGGTCATTGTTGGCTAATTTGAATATTCCTCCTGTAGAGGGACAGGCCCGATTTAGGTGTACCAATGACAACATGGTCTGGACAACCCGCTCCCCTCTTGATCCTCGCCCTCTGCCCGCAAGCCTGGCCCCTCCTCCATCCCCTCCCTCTGCATCCCCTTTCCTCCACCTGCTCGCCTCCCGCCTCCCTCTCTATGTGCACTGCCGTCCTCCACCCAATCGCTCTCGCTCCTCCTCCTTCGCTCCTCCTCGTCCTCCTGCTCCCCGTCACCTCCTTCCTCATTTGTCTCCTTCTCCTCCTCCGTCCTGGAAACGTGGGTAATCGGGGGAAGGGTCTGAGGGAGTGGGCGGGGGCGAATGGGTGGGAGGGCACGGGGAGCGGCGAGCAAATGGGCGAGCAACAGGTGCCGAGATCTCCACGTGCGTTGTTGGTTTGTGATGGTTGTGTTGGTTTGTGTTCTTTTTCAACCATCCTGTGGTGTTGGGTCTTCGTTTTAAAAAGACATCGCCCCGCGTCTCCTTCCTCCTCCCGCTGGGCTGCTTACTCCCTCCTCCTCTCATCACCATCACCATCATCACCATCACCATCACCATCACCATCATCATCACCATCACCATCACCATCACCATCACCATCATCATCATCATCATCATCATCATCATCATCATCATCATCATCATCATCATCATCATCATCATCATCATCATCATCATCATCATCATCATCAGCATCATCCATCATCATCATCATCATCATCATCATCGTCATC